ATAATGGTATGCAAAATTACTAGCACTTAAGCATGAATGAAAGCAGTGGCACTAAACTATACTCATAGTCATGGTATTTTTCACCACCACACACTTGCTGGAAAAAAAGCTAGTTTTACTTCAGAAGTCCTTGATAAAGCCATAAGAATTGCTAATTTTAACTATTGATTTTCTCCCATACATGTTTTTAAAAAAATATTCTCTATAAATCAGTATGCTAAAATGAGATGACACGCAAAACACTACTGAAACCTGATGGTTATCTCAGAAAAAAGGGCACTTTTGTTATTGTTTGAATTGCAAACTGAATGACAACTTTTTTTCATAACACTCCATTTTTACTTGAAACAAAAATTGACATAAGGTATGGTTTTTCAGACAGGTTTTTCTTTTATTTCTGAAAAATAAAAGAAATGAGGCTGTCATTTCTTTTAGTTAAAGGAGCTGACAGTATTTGTTGGCCATGATACATTGTGAGTTTTTAAAAACTTAGAATTTCAGAAAGTCTGTGTCTGCCACTGTAAGCTTATCAGTTTACTAATACTTCTCAAGGCTTTTCTGGTGAGATTGACAAATACCCTTTTTTATATGATAAAATATGTCAACATCTGGAATAACTGCATAACTGTGAATCAATATTCTTCTTATGAACAAAGTACAATGTTATACGATCACACATAGGTAAAAGATTTACTCAAAGTGCAAGATAGACTAATGGATTTTAATGTAACAGAGTACAACAAGATCATTCAATGTCCCATAGGTATTAAAAACTTTGTGGTTTATAAAATCTCTAATAAAATGTGAATGGTCCATATAGGCTTTCTGCTTTAACTCTACTTTTCTCTAGTCTGTCTACCTGCTAGCAAAACTTAGCTGACAGTCACAGTCAAGCTTTATTCTTTGTCATATTATTTGCCTCAACTGACCAACCTTTTGCTAGGTTGGAAGCCAAAAATCATACAGTATAGGCAGTTTCTCAAATGAGTATCTCTGAGGTCATTCATGACATGAAACATGCTTCCATGGTTGTTCCCAGGGCTGCATACCATCCTTGTTTTCTCTGCTATTCAAAAGAGCATAGCAGAATACAAGGAAATAAGAGGAATGAATAAACTTATATCTGATTAAATTTACTTAAAAGATAAATTAATATCCTGCTTTACTAATTTGTGAAAAACTCCTAACTTTCACCACACTGCAATTGAGAACTGTTGTAACACACTGCGAGCTTCCTAGGCAGGAATCGAGCCTTCCCTATGCTTGAAGCACTGCACTTGGCATGGTGCCCTGGGCAGGCGCCCCCAAATGCTTGATGACTTGAGTATTGTAATATACATGAATAATCACAATCATGTAGTTTCTAGGGCTATTCTACAAAATATTTTAACCATGGATGATAATACAGCTGACCTGAAAAATTAGTACTAGCCAGAATTTTAGGTTTTGAGAGCCATCTTACTGAAAAGAAAACTTTTGATTGTATATAGACTGCGTTGTGGATAGCATTTTGAATGAGTGAAGACTGCCTTGCATGTAAAACCTCACTTTGTGTTCTGCTTAATGCCCATCTTTGGGTCCCCAGGGGCCTCTATTGATTGAAT